TATAATATATAGAATAATATAATATATAAATTAGTATAGTATAGTATAATATAATATAATAATAATATTTATCCTCAGCTGGGGCCCAGCAGCTATAGCTGACTTCAAGTCCTATCATCCTCAGACACTGATGGGTGCACTGTTGGGACCTGAATGGCCAGGCTGGGGACAGATGATCCTAGAGAAGTTCTATCTATAGGGTTAAGAATGGCTCAGAGTTGACCCTGACTTGATGGCACAATCAATCATCATCAGTTCCACTGCTGCAACTCTAGCTGGGCACTCTGAAATACTGTAAGTGCTCCCAACCGCATTAATCTGATTCTTTCAGAGCAATGATGACAAAGGCTGCAGCTGCAAACAGCCCTAAACGGTTTTTCATAGTTGCTTCTCCCTTTTTAAGGAGGAAAATCAGTCTTAAAATGTATTATGAGCACTCCCCTAAGCCCCCCCCCAGAAAACAAAAAACCCAAACCCACATTCAGTTATGTGGCTGGATCTCACCAAGCGCAGTCCTTAGCATCAAAAAACAAAACCTGCAAAGGGTGGACTCTCTTTGCTTTAGTGAATGTACCCACCGCACTGTTAAACGGTGTACTGCGAAGGGTTGCCACCCCTAGCCACTTTGCTGCCATCTAGTGGTTATTCAGAATTTTGCAGCCTAGCTATGGTAACCCCAATACAGTACTGTACTGCAGGATGATTTTCAATTATTGAGGGCTAAAGAGGATTGGGAGAGACAGCTGGGTGTAGGCATCAGGCTAGAAACCAGGAGACTATGAGCTCTAGTCCTGCCTGAGGCACGATGCCAGCTGGGTGACCTTGGGCCAGTCCCTCTTTCTCTGCCCTAGGAAGGAAGCAGGGCAAACCACTTCCGGGGGAAAAAAAAAACCTTGTCAAGAAAACTGCAGGAGTCAACACTGATTCAGGAGTCAACACTGATTCAAAGGTGGAAAATAAATAAATAAATAAATAAGTACATAATTTTTTTAAAAATTGGATAGAGTGCTTGAGGACATCTGTCCTATTTACCCCTTGTCTACTTGGTCCCATTTTTTGGATCACAACAGCAACAAAAAATAAATGACTGCCTGGATCCATGAAGTAATAAACATCTCTTTATGGAGGGAAGATTCGGGGGTGGGGGGAAGTGTTTGTTTTTAATCTTGTAAGATGCCCAAAGTCACCTGTGTGAAATGGGTGGCTATATAAATAAAATAAATAGAGGTGATAGAATCTGAAAGTGATTCTTTTTAAAAACACTTTTGAATCATCTGCATTAAAACCTCAAGGAAATTAACCCAGAGATTCAAACTGAAGAGCATCAGAACACAGAAGGTCCTCAACCATCTAGCTATCACTGGGTTTTGCTGATTTCCTACCAGAAAGGTTGCTGAAGTCCTGAAACTCTTCCAGGACCTATAAACTGGTGAAGAATGGTGGTGATGGGGGTTTCCTCAGGAGATATTAACACAGACCAGCTGGAGATGTTACACATAAAGGAAACAAAGTTTTGAGTTGGAGATTTATGACTGGCTTTAATTGAGCTGGACTTCCCCGGAAAGACTGGTACATAATTTGGAATTCCTCCTAGACTTTGCCGTATCTGGGGAAATCCCCCAGGCTGGATTATTGTAATGCTGAAGGCTGCTTTTGGAGGTGGTTTAGAAATTTCAGTTAGTGTAGAACATGGCCACTTCGGTGTTGATTATGTGTCATCAAGTTGTTTTCGACTCCTAGCAACCACATAGATAGATTTACTCTGGGACAGTAATCTATCCCTAATCTGGCCTTTCAGGTCTTCCAATGGTGCACTCATCACCACTGTAGCTGAGCCCATCCACCTTGCTGCTGGTGGTCCTCTTCTCTTTCCTTCCACCTTTCGCAGCATTAGAACCTTCTCCAAAGAGCTGGGTCTTTGCATGATGTGTCTGAAGTAGGATAATTTGAGCCTGGTCATTTGTGCCTCGAGTGAGAACTCTGGGTTGGTTTGTTCGATGATCCTTTTGTTTAATGTATGTATGTATGTATGTATGTATGTATATATTTATTTATTTATTTATTTATTCGGCTTGTATGCTGCCCATCTCCCCCACGGGTCTCTGGGCGGCTCACAATAAAAACAAAGAAATACAATTCTGTCCAAGATGGCTAAAAACTATAAATAATTTAAAAACATATTGTATTGTCGAAGGCTTTCACGGCCGAAATACAATGGCTGGTGTGGGTCTTCCAGGCTGTGTGGCTGTGTTCTGGAAGTTTTGTTTCCTAA